ACGATGACTGCGATATGGCTTGTAATAGCTGATTGAATGTAAACGTTGGTTTTTCAAGCGGAAATATGTCAAAACTAAAGTCAACCGTACACATAGAAATGCAAATAGGAATAATAATTGTAAACGACGTACGATTTCATCTCTAATTATAGCAATAGATCTCCTTATTCATGATCTCTCTATCCTACTTCCTTTAAAAAACAAGAAATTTTTTTATTATTGTTTCCTATCCTAAGTATCTAAATGTCAATTATACATCCGTAAATATCATTTTGTTTTTGTGTTGGATAGTGAGAGTTTTTTATAATTTGATTTGTCTTTTATTGTGGATATATGGTAAAAAATACACCCCCCCGAGAAGACAGTGGTTTAAAGCAACGATGACAGGAGGTAATACAAGGGCGGCTATAGAGAGGGCTATTTTATTCGAAATAGTGGTCGCCAAGCCTCCCAATTTATGAAAATTGTGTAAGCGGTTTTTTTATAATATTTTTTCATTGTGTTTGACATAAAATATTTAAAGAAGGGGGCACGTTTTAAATGTAAAATACCCTTCGGTCAGAATTTGACGAAATTTTGATATGTTGTAGAACTTGACGTATGGACAGGCCCGCGCCGTACATAAGGGCAACCGAAGGCGCCGAAAAGCCTCAAAACCCAAAAGTAAAAAAAGATAAAGCAACAGACAACATTGTCAAAACAAAATTTATAATGATAAAAAAACAGCAAGGGATTGTTAGCTATTACATTGTTTTTATTTGTTTATTATTTTAGTTTTACTCTTTGAGACGAGGGAACCGAATTTCTCGAGAATAATATATTTAAACGATAATAAAATATCAAAACTCATATGTAATAGTAGCAAAATGAAATAAAATGAATTTAGCTCAAAGCCGAATATCACATAAAATACAACGACCGTTTCCCCTTCAGAAAAACAACTACTCCTTTGGCTAATACCACAACAGGCATTGAATTACACCCGGAGGAAAAACAGCAGAGATAGAAATTAATTTTCAACACTCTCTACTTTGATTTTGCTCACCAAGGAGAACATCATTCTTGGACCGGTTTCGTCCTTATTAGGACTCCTCAGCAAGAAATAGATAGGTTCTCAATTCCAGTCTCTAATGGAATTAACAAATGCTACACATTTCACCAGTATACCATAAAGTTGGTTACGGAGAGAATAAAATTCAAGTAGTGAAAATGGTGTCGCCATCTGATTTTGCTTACTAAGAATATTGCCTTTAACTGGAAAAATTTGCTGAAGTTTTGATATTTAGCGATTTTATGTATTTTTAACTGCTCTTTTCCATTTTTTTATTTTGCCACCTCGTAACTTTGCCGCCGTCGCCGCCATATTCGCGATTCAAGCTAAGTGATACGCCCTCTGGAGGAAATTAGTAAAAGGTCCCTATAAGTAGGATGACGTTCAGTGTTTTTGAAGAAATGGATAAGACCTTTTATTTAAGAATCAAAATTTGTGTCTAGTAATATGTAATCATACTATTTATTTAAGGATTTTTTTATAAAATCGATTTATTATATTGATTTTTTTTTAAATATCAGTTTATTTATTAATTTTAGTTTTAAAATCAGTCAGAGACAAAATCAGTTCATCATTTGGCAACATTGGCGTTCGTGTTCATTGTTTACATTTTAATTTGTATCAATTACAATTAGAGTTTTTTGTTACTTTTTAGCTTTAAATTTGTTTATTTCTTATAGTATGTGATAGTAAATTAAAAATGAAATCTGCGAAAAAGCCTCCAGCAAATTGCAATCTATATGGTGTTATTGTCAAAATCAAAACTGGAGTATTCATTATTTTTCAAGTGCAAGTCATAAAATTCTATTTTTTATGATAAATGGGTATCTACAAATTCACAATATTGAAATTTTGCAAAACGTTGTTTAGAATCAAACTCCAATATGAGTTGTGACGGTTTTATTACCATTTACATGTATACAAAGTACTACACAATTCACTTCATGATATAAGAATATAAGGATAGTAAGATTTTTAAAGAAGTTCATCAATAATAAACGTTTGGTACCTGATATGTCCTTTAAACCACATAATAAAACATGTCCTGGGTTTAGTAAATACATATTTCTAGATGTTCTTGTAGCAACCAATAGGTCAATATTTCCAACAAATTAGTTCGTACTACACATGAAAAATTACATTTATAACGAAAGCACGAAAACTAAACTTAAATTAACACTAAATGAAACTCAAAAACACTATTATAATAAGAATATTATCTAAAAACAGTTAAAAAATCACAAATACAAAATCCCACAACACGTAGATAAACAAACATCCTACTTATACGTGACAAATGACAGGCGCGCGAAAATTAATTTGAATCGCGAATTGTAATAAATTGTAAAAAAAAAAGTTTTTTCAAGATATCTTGTTACTAGTTGCTTTTAAAGCAAAAATTGACATGTTCTTTCATTGCAGGAAAGGCGAATGTTGGGAAAACCAATCCATTATTTTTTTTACGTCACTGTTATCACGATTAATCCGGGAACTTCTTATTCAAAATGCTGTTCCGAAGTACTAAAATCTATATTGCAAAAATGTTCAACCGCTTCACAAATATTGTGCAAGAATGACATTCCCATAGTCCACCTTAATTCCCCGCCCACGAGTTAGTCAACCTGCGGTTTTCATCGTTCTCAATAATGATTTCTCAATAACCATGTTTGACCATGTGCCACACCAAAATTTGTCAGAACGTCTAATTGTGAAGCACCCTCCATCTGTAAAATACCTATATTCTGTAGGTTTCATCTTTTCTTTTAAACTATAAATATTCCTGTAAATATAAATGGTTACATTTAGCGTACAAAAAATTACCACTGGAATGAAAATAGGGCAACATTAGCTGGATACTATTAAGATAAAGGTCCCAGTTTCCGCATTTTTCGGCCTCAGTAAATTTTTTCACTACTGTAAAGTAAGAAACCCATAATTTAGCAGTTGTACCACGTTACTAGATGATTTTCAAATTTTGAAGCTAATTCTTTGACGTATTCTTCTTGGTCTGCTTCAAGTATTACCAACTTGTCGAAATCGCATAGAATTGCTTCTAGTCCTGCGCGTTAGTCTGGTGATAAATCAATTTCCTGCATGCTTAATTTTGCGAGATGGACTAACACATGTGCTCTGCACGCACGAGAATATGCATGACCTGCATTGGGATTCTCATCTTTCAATACGGCACGTGTTGAGACGACTATCTTCGTTCCACAGAATGCGATTCTTATGTAATGTCTCTCTCTATTTGATTCGTTACGTGTTGAGTTCGCACATAAGAATTCCTGTCCAGTTAACATATTTTCACGTGAGTTCGGTGCAAAAATTATTCTTAGAATCTCGGATAATGAACGACATTAATAAATGAAAGCCACCTAATCGTATAACGACATTTTTCAATTTTGCTTCCATGCCACTCAAACAGACAATTTGATTTGCTTTAAAATACAGTGGCTGATCAAACGTGATGAAAAATGTTGGCTGATTTAATGACTAAACAGTAAAAATCGTGTCAAAGTTAGTCGGTGGTGCATTAATGAAAGGCAAACAAGCTATAAAAGATTTCTGGTATGAATGGTTTGCTGTCAGGTATATTGGGAAAATCAGTCCATTTCCCGTAGAGCCACAGCAGATCTGAAGTTGACAACTTTATTGTATTTACGACTGAAGAAATAGTACAAAGATCTATAATAGAAATTCCCTGTAGACTAAAAAAGTTTATCTTCTCATGGCTTCGTAATGCAATGCTACCAGAATTTTCGACGTACTAAGCTGAGGTCATTTTTGTGAGACGAGGAATATTCTGATCAGGAGCAATGGCACTTGCGGTCGTTATACAATGGATGCCTCCCATGGCATGAACATTATTTCTGCCATCCAGGTTTTGAGTATTAAAGTCCCTATGTCGAAAACCAACTGTGAAAAGGCACTCCCGTCAATACCCAAAAGAGGGCGCATCAACATCGGAACTTCAAAAAGTGTTGCTTCCTTGTAAGAGGAACAAAATCCTAGTGAAGTCAAGATGTCAATCAGTTTACGAGATCAGTATCTAACTTTTAGATTCAAGCGATAGGCTCAATGAATAAAATTCGTATTGTTTTTTACGCTACGTACTTGCTCAACTTTGTAATACTCGTACACGAAAACAGTTGGTTTTATGAAAAAAATGATAGGGACCAATTTGGTAGAGAAAATGATGTAGTGTAATTTATTACATAACCATTTTTACTGCAAAAGCAACGAGTAACGAGATATCTTGAAAAATCTCTTTTTTATAATTCATTGCAATATGGCAGCGACAGCGGCAAAGATACGAGGTGACAAAATAACATTTCGGAAAATACGTTGAATCACAAAATATCAAAATTTCCGCAAATTTTTCCAGGTAAATTTACATAGTTACTGGACTATATATATTAAGCGCTGCATCGGTTGTGATTTCATTTTTTGCCAGATGCCCGATCGATAATTAACTTAGCGAAGTGAAAAGGTACATGGAGTAGAAGATATCTGTTTTTGAAACTTTAGTTTATCTAGAATCTAGAATCTGGAATCTGGAATCTGGAATCTAAAATTTAGAATCTAGTAGAATCCTTTAAGGTATCAACTTGGGGAGGTTTATGGTGCTCTGTTTGACATAAGCGAAGGAAACTTTGAAAATAACGTAAAAAATGTGGCTGCATCGTTGGCCAAAAAATTGCAAAATTTTGAGTTCATTTGCATTCTTATATTGTGGTATAATATTTTAAGTAAAGTTAACATTGTTAGTAAAATTATTCAAAAACCGAACTTTGATGTTGCTTAGTGTTCTAATCATTTAAATAATTTGAATAATTTTTTGAAAGCTTACCGCTCCGATAAAGGTTTTAATGATCTATTGCGTTTCCTATTTTTATGTCCCTAAATCTCTGTGCCAACCCTTTCCACCGACAGTTCTTTTGTTTGAAAAATCTAATTTTTTAGTTCCATGTCTTCAATGCTTGCATTGTTCACAGATAACCTGAAAACACCAAAGGTCCGTCAAGATGACTACCAGTATTTCTGGCTGTCAATATTAGACAGTTCATACTCACATATATCAAATTAAATATCGTATGTTTTAAGTATCCATTTTTATTTTTATTATCTGACAATGGCAAATCCTTTGAAAGCTCTAAATGAACATTTTTTGTATAACCACAAAGTAGCTAGTGCCTTACAACAGTTGTTGCACCCCAGTGGTAAGTCTTAAAGAAAATACTCCAAACTAAATATCCACTGTGCTATTAGAAAATCTTAATGTCAGGGTACCTCAAAGTTGAAAATTGAACTCACCGCACCCCAACATATTTAATTATAAATGATTTTCATGACCAAGGGGTGACATAAAGAAAAGAAGATAAGGATATTCCAAGGCCGTCTGTTTCCTTGGTGTCGAAACTCTTCTGCTGGGGAATTGAAGCTTCAAAATTAACCAACTATACTAAACTTTTTACTCATCCTTTTGCTCCCCCGCTAAGGGGTTCCGACAGGCACTCCTAATCCAGCCTGCCTTTCCTTTATCTGGGGTTCACAAGGCGGCCCTATACCCTTATGGGCTTATTGTGGCACCTTTTGGTTGGCATACACCTTCTCATTCATTGAACTATATTGCACCGTATAGATGGACCCCGAGCTCTACGAGTTTGATTACCCATCCAGACCGTGACTGGTCAAACTAATCTGAAACATTTTTATATACCTCTTAATAACTAAACTTAGACCAATTAAATTATTTAGACTAAGAGCTGATGAAATATTTTAGGTTTAGAGGTATAAAACCAACCACGGATATCAAGCTAAGGTTGCCATTGATCAGTTTGTAATAAGAATGACTGAAAATCACGTAGAAGTGTTCAAAACTACTTTTTTTAAGCCTAAAACCAGACGCAGTGTAGATTTCTTTAATTTTAATATTTGAGGAATACTTTTTTTGATGTCTGTAAGGCTCATATAATACCTTTTAACTGAAGAACTGATTGTTGAGGTCACATTAGATATATTTTGCAATGTGGCTCTTCTTTGATTATGCTCAGTTTTTTTTCTATTCCAGATCGCAGATTAATCTCCATTTGGTTTGATAAATTACTGGAAATGAATAAGAGCGTGGAGGAAATGATTATCAGAAGTGATTACATGTGGTTTATCTTACTGATGATGCAAAGTAGGAAAATTAGAGAACCTTTTACTAGACTACCGCCAACAAATATGCAACCGTTGAAAAAGTTTGTTGTAAGCGCATGAAGTAAAATAAATTAATATTGTATGGGTTCTTGTTACTTAAGCTGGTGGTAGGTATGAAATATTTTGGGTGGCCAGTGCCTTACCCAATAGAGGACACTACTGTCTACAATGCTTGAAGTTATTTTCATATAATTAAAGGGATACAACCAAAATATATTCTTTATATAAAGTTTTGCAATATACAGATTGGAAAACAAGTTTTTAGTAACAATATTTGATAAAGTTTGATGTTTGATAGTTGAATTTTTTCCTGGGTTCGTCTAACAATCTGCACCGTCGCAAATTCTGTTTTTACGACATCTTTTGTATTATTTTATCAAAAAAGCAAACCACTGACCAAAATGTTGTACACCTACATCCATTTGGTGGAAATAAATCTTTATAAATCCTCATATTTCCTTGTAAATCCTTAAATGTCCTCAGAAATCCTTCTAATTTCTTCATACATCTTCAGAAATTCCTATAACTTCTTCATAAATCCTCATAAATCCTCTTAAATCCTCTTAAATCCTCTTAAATCCTCTTAAATCCTCTTAAATCCTCTTAAATCCTCTTAAATCCTCTTAAATCCTCTTAAATCCTCCTAAATCCTTATAAATCTTTATAAATCCCTATAAATCCTTATAAATCCTTATAAATCCTTATAAATCCTTATAAATCCTTATAAATCCTTATAAATCCTTATAAATCCTTATAAATCCTTATAAATCCTTATAAATCCTTATAAATCCTTATAAATCCTTATAAATCCTTATAAATCCTTATAAATCCTTATAAATCCCTATAAATCCTTATAAATCCTTATAAATCCTTATAAATCCTTATAAATCCTTATAAATCCTTATAAATCTCTATATATCCTTATAAATCCTTATAAATCCTTATAAATCCTTATAAATCCTTATAAATCCTTATAAATCCTTATAAATCCTTATAAATCCTTATAAATCCTTATAAATCCTTATAAATCCTTATAAATCCTTATAAATCCTTATAAATCCTTATAAATCCTTATAAATCCTTATAAATCCTTATAAATCCTTATAAATCCTTATAAATCCTTATAAATCCTTATAAATCCTTATAAATCCTTATAAATCCTTATAAATCCTTATAAATCCTTATAAATCCTTATAAATCCTTATAAATCCTTATAAATCCTTATAAATCCTTATAAATCCTTATAAATCCTTATAACTCCTTATAAATCCTCATAAATTCTCGTACATCCTTCATATTTTCTCCGAAATCCTCATACACACGTTCCGTATCGCTTTTTGATGTGCCAGTATGTTTAAAGTTAATTTACAGTGTGTAAAAAATCATTTAGATATTATTTGATTATAAACAAAAATATCTGAATTGAAGGAATAGAGAATACTCTTTTTTTCAAACATATTATAATATCTTTCCCTTGGTGTATCATAAAGTAATTTACTTGCCAGCTTTGTGCGGCTAAAAAGTTAGTTATATACACAAAACCAGGTTAAAACATAAAACTGTTTTAGTAGTGTAACTATTTAATAACCATGTGAACAATATCTCGGAATAATATCAAATTTTACAATTTTACTTTCCAGCACTTGAATAGTACTTTTCAACAAAAATCAATTGCAGCAAACATTGGTAATTATAATAAACCAGGCCAACCTAACTCAATTTATTCCAATAGTTTCCAATAATTGATTTTTTGTTGGAATTTTCATTTTTGTTTTCAGTAGATCGATGAAACATAGATACTCAGAGCTCTTCGTACTAAACCTTGTAGAAATCCTTTTATTCGGTATCCTTTACATTTTATGAATGGCAAATTAATATTAGGTTCCTTGATAGCATAATATCGTGCGAGCCATTTTCGACCAGTCAGGTCGTACACTAAAAATAATTGATGTAGGCTTAGCCAGCCATTTTTCATGGGAGGGGTTTTTGAGAACTATGGGGGGAGTTCCATCAAGAAAGTGAATAAAATCAAACAGTCAATAGCGATCAGTGCCAATACTATAATGGAAATGGTGACACGGGGACCCTCCTTGGCCTCCTTGAACTCCGTCGCTAGGCCACTAGCTGTTATAGTTAGTTCAAGCTGAGACATCTCTGTAAGCAGATTAATATAAATTAGAATTTAAGTAATTGTATATGAGTATAAATAAATTATTTAGTGTAAATAAATTTAAATAATAAACAGAGTTAAAAGAGCATACATTGCTTATGAACAGTGCCGCCGAACCGTGGAGCGCACCTGGGGTTTCTCCCCAGAGTCGTCGTATGGACTTACACGGCATAAAACCTATGCTAACATACGGTGCAGTTGCCTGGGTACCGAAAACCCAAAAATTAACAGCTATCCGTAAACTAGAACAAATTCAAAAAACAGCATGTCTCAACATAACAGGAGCCATGAAAACAACACCGACCAGAGCCTTGGAAGTCATTCTTAGTCTCACTCCCCTTGATATTTACTGCAAGAAGGTTGCTCTGATGACAATGACACGCCTCCGCACGGTTGGAATAGAACCTGATGTAGGATCTGGTGAGGCGAGACGTCGCTTTCGGCAGGAGGTGTTCGATACGCTCCCACTGCTTCAAGCCAACATGAACTCCATCTCACCGAGATATATCTTCCATAAGCCATATACAGTTATAATAAAACAAAACAAGGCTCAGGGTGTGGAATATACTGCAGATTCTTAAACTCAAACATAAAATGGGCTGTGAGCAATAGTGCCAGTGTAGTTAAAATAGAGCTAACATGGAATCTTATAGCAGCAAAAGAAATAACCAGAAACAATATCACTGGAAGGAACATGCTCATCTATACAGATAGCAGACAAGCACTACTCACCCTGAACAAACCACGAATTTACTCAGGGTTGGTACTAGAATGTCACGAAGCTTTGGTCGAAGTATCCAACAATGTGTTCACCTTAAGATGGATGAAAGGTCACGCCACATCGAAAGGTAACCGTCTTGCTGATTCACTAGTTAAGAAAGTAGCCAACCAAATACTTTTTGGACCTGGCCCTTCTATTGGCCTGACAAAATCGGTAACACAGGCCTAATCAAAGAACATTCTCTTGTGAAATTCAAGGAAAGATGGGATGAAATAAGAAACTGCAGAGTTGCCAGGGAGCTCTTAAGTTATCCTGACAACACTGCAGCAAACAAATACCTGACTATGACTAAACATAATCTGCGCCTAGTCACAGGCATTTTGATTGTTCATTGTGAAGTACGAAAGCATCTCCATATCATGGGGGCTGTCGGAATCCGCACTCTGCAGAGGGTGCAAACAAGAAGATGTGACCATCCAGCATATCCTTTACGATTGCCGTGGGGGTAACCTACCCTCCACACGTTACAGATACAGATACAGAGAAACTGTTTAAAATAAACACACGTTACAATAACTATATTATATTAAAATTTCAGATATACTAAAATGGTTTTGAAAATAATTTTGTTTTAATTACTAAAATAGCATCTAGTACAGAGTTAGCAACGCCAAAACGCTAACGGACATTTATAAATGGTTGTCGAAGATTATGAAGAAAATGTTTAACCTAAAATGATTTGAAAATACGAAATTTGTACCTGCATAAATTTTATTTTTTATTTTTTCCACTGGGCTCGTCTAACTTAGCCTCCGAAAACACTGAAGTCTAACGGCCTGTTGTATTTAACCTATATTAATTCAGAGTACCCACTCTGTCACCTTAGTACCTTGTACAAGTTTGTACAATTCCTTGACAGAGTATGTTCTATAGTTTCTTGGAACAACCTGTGATTGTCCAAAAAGTATCTGTCACAAATGGGATACCATATCCCCACCAAGCTTCAATAAGAAAATAAATCTCAAAAGACCAGCCGACCCAAAATTCTTCCTCAAACGTTGCTAGCTCTCGTACCCCATATCACCTTTTTCCTTGTACGAGTGTGTTCTATGGGCTATTGGCTTAAGTTATGGTTTTCCAAATAGTGCCTGTATATTGCAATCCAATGTGTTGGAGTCTCACAGTATATGTTTGACTGTTTCTGGTTCCAATAGGTATCAATTCAACACGCCCATTTTGTTTAAGTCTCCCTGTACTAGGACATGTCAAATCATGGGTCCTTTTATTGTCATCAACTGGTTCCTTTTAATGGAGAGTAGTTCACCTGTTCTTTTTGAAGATGGTCCTCCTCTGAAGGGTTTTCTATGGTACATTCTCCCAATAAATATTGTGTTTTCTCCGAACCAATCTTTTAAGAAACCTCATAGTGTACTTTTTGATAGTCCAAGGTGTAGAATTGGCTGTCTTTCGCAGTATGTATACCAAGTTTGTTTTTGTCGTTGGGTACTGGGTTTTCCTTAGGGTGATCACCCTTCTCTTTGGTAATTAAACCTCGAATGGAGTATTAAAAGAGTAATGCTTAGTTATGTGATATGTTCTTATGTCTAACAAGTGACTTATGTGACCTGGTCTAATGTTAAGATTTTTCAGAGACTTCTCTAATCTGCAGGCATCTAATCTTGCCTCAATTTGTATCACAAAGTAAAACAATGGTAGGCCTATTGGCGTTTCTATTGGAGATGTGTTTTTATTGCCCTCGTCATTTCAAGATAGATATGTCTTTGTTTCTTGCTGTCTTTTAATGCCGCTCTTTGTTGTGTGTTTGGCCAGCACACCAAATCTGCGTTAGTCATTATAGATTTTACAAACATGTATATCCAATATACCGTTCCTGGTTGGTTGCATTTTAGTTTTTAGATCAAGCAGAATTTTTAATAAAATACTTTCTTGTTTTATAACCACTGATCTGTATTATTTTACTGGATAGGATATATGCTATATTTAACATACTAAAAATCCGTATCACCAAGGAGACCGGAAGTGCAACACTGCTGGCCGAATTGGGCAAATTAATGGTGGGATCACAGAACTAAATTTTGGGATAATTTGACTTACCTAACCTATAATTTGATTAGTTTTTCTTCTTATTCTTCTTCTATTCCTTCTGCGGGCAATGTCCTTCGGGACAATTCACCTATAATTTGATTTTTTTATGAAAGAAAATATAAAAATGGAAACATGAAGCATATTGTATCTTCACGAATGAACGTTTATTGTTTATATCATAATTAAATGACAAATATGATGACAAAAAATGGAAATAGAGGTTATGTTAAATAACATCCGGTCCGCCATATTATTTGCCCAAATCGGCCAATTTTTCGGAACGTTTTTTAGAGGGCTATATCCTATCCAGTAAAATAATACAGATCAGTGTTTATATAACACATGTAAAAAGCTATGAAACGAAATTAAGTATAACACTGTATTTTTTTTATTTTCAGCCACTACATATATATGAAGAGGTATTGATTGCGAACGAACCAAATATGGTTTACATTAGTCCAAAGAAAAGCGAGGAAAGCCTTAAATCGAAAGAAAAAACAGTTTCGGTGGCGACATCTTACGAATCATTTAATTATTAAACTGCTTCTACGTATTTTTAAAGATAATAAAGATATTTTTTCACAAATTTAATTTAGTTATGAACAGTGACAAAAGAAATAAATTTAAAAAACGCCCTGCAAAAAGATTTACAATAGGTCATAATCATTTATTAATTAGAATATGCAAGCGTTTTTGTTTTTGCTCATATCTTGAAATTTTAAAAAGTTAGTTGTACAAGGTGTTTCAGAATGAAGTACCGTAAACTAATTTTTTATTTTATTCGCCAAGTAACCCAGTCTTCTCTGATCTACAGCTTTCTTAATAATAGATCATCTCTAGTACGACTCTTATAAGCTCATAAGTATATTCAATTCTGCAGATTGAATATCTCTTTTTGTAAACATAATTTGTAAAATTATTAATGAAGAGTTGTCAAATATCAAAATTTGTGGCTCTTGAATCAATAGGTTTGAAGGATAAGTTATATCTTTAAAATACATTTTTTGAATGATTTTTTTTTATATTCCTATATTTTACCCCCAGGCTAATACATCATATGATAAACGTGACTCCACAAATGTTTGATATGGAATTTTCAGGTGAGTTATATATGAACAACTTCTCAGATATTTTTCGAGTTTATGTAAAACTGGCCTTAAATTATTTACACTGTTATTTATATGTTTCTCCCATTTCACATGAGAACCAATATGATATGAATTTAGGATGACTCTTGTTTTAGACGTGGCAAACGGCATAGCTAATGTCTTAATTATACATGAGAGAACCAATCAAACAGGTTTTTTCAATTATTTTCCCAAAGTTTTTTAACAGCATGCCATGGTTTAGCTGATTATAAGGTTAACGTGTCATCAACAAATATAGAGCAAAAACAAAATAGGTCCGAGTATGGTACCTCGAGGGACACCATATTTTGTAATTTTATAAAAGCTTATATATTTATTAATTTTTACTGCTTGAATCCTTTTACTTAAATAACTACAAAAAAGGTCAACAGATTTACCTAAGACCTTTAACAACTGCTTAATATGACATACAGTGTCGAAGGTCTTTGCCAATTCAAGAAAAATGCGTATAGTGGAAACGCTTGTACAACATTATTTGTTAAATGACACAAAGCATCGATTGTAGATAATCCGTTTTGGAAACCATATTGCTTTGAACTTATATATAAAATTATAAAAGGTTGAGGTGAAATTAAGTGAATAAAATTTTACAATTTTTTCTTTTATTTAGATATATAAAGAAGCCGTAGAAAAGTATAGTATATAACTCGAGTTAACACATAAATGTTTCTGCTAAGGTTCTATTTATAAGGTAACAAATATTGTTAGGTAACTAGGTAACTAATAAAAATGGTGATGCTGTTACAAAATAACTATAAACCATCGAATCAAAATTGTTTTAATTAAAAAAAGGAATACAACGAATCAAAAACCTCTGTCACTAAATGCCGACATATAACAGATTATTCCTTCGTGAGGAGTCGGTTGGTTATTGTAGAAATGCGCAGGCGCGGACTGCTGACTACTAGCTTTCTTGTCATCTTGTTTCTCTTCAGTAAACATGTTCTCATCATTGGCTACCAAAACCTCTTCGTAAACTCTAGAACTCTAAAAAATATTAATTATTTCAGGCCTGTTCTACTACCTTAAATGTGTGAATCAGGTACTGAAATTGAATTTTTCTGCAATAATTTGCATGTTAACATGTTTTTCTACACCCGTATTATAATAATGCACTTATATGCCCATAATCCGTTTCATAATGATACCCATTATGATACAGATTTTTCATTACGATACAGATTTTTAATCAATAGAAACCTACAATTTTTCAATCAAGCATGCTGTTTGACGTTTGTCCTAGGTTCCTATGTAATTATTTTAGTTGTCAAAACGTATTAAATTTTCGTAGGTAGCTAAACTTCGATAATTATAATATTAAAATGTCTGATATTAGCGATATAGAAGACTCCTCCACACATATCGGAGAAAGCAGAAAATACAGTACAAAATATTTTACCGCAAAAATCTAGGGAAATACCAATACCTGAAGTAATACCATTAATTACAATTTTGTAGAATTTTTTATAGAAATACGAGTAATTACTGTTATTGTGTTCAATACCAATATAAATATAATATTTATAGGTCTTGATTATTTATCGGGTGTAGAAAAAATAGCGTATGCAACTCTCATGTAATGGTTATTAAAACACTCGCATAAACCATACGAAACTCGCCTTTGGCTCGTTTCGTATCCCGGTTAATGCTCGTGTATTAATAACCATCATTACATGATCGTTGCATAATATACTATTGTCTTACATCTCAATATGTTTCAAGCAGTGCACAGATACGAGATGAACTATGATTTGAATTAAACCAAACCAAGTTGTTGAATCCTTACCACTACGTCTCGTAATTGTCCAATTTCGGCTGGCGGCACTTTGTTAAAAGGCTCGCGAATTTTCCTGACCTGCAGCATTAAAAGGATGAACCACATGAACTCGTTTCTATTCTCTTTTTCTTTGATCGTTTTGTCCATGGTCAGCAATCTATCGAACCATGTTCGCAAAATCTTGCGCTCTACAAAAATTCATGATTAATATGGCAAACTATAAAGTAGTAAACTTTGAAGAAAACTTCGTTGATCTAGGCTTACCGTCAGGAGGCAGTAGTGTTAAGATTGCTTTAGCCAACATACTATTGTAAAAGAAATTCTCGTCTAACAGGTTCGACATTTTTACTAAAATTTGATTTTTGACATTATTAGGGATAACAGACTTAATTAGGCATTCCAACGACTTGTTAAAATTCTGCCCGTGGGAACTGACAGTTTAGGTATGGCAACCCTGTGGACCTGTTGTCATTGACATGGTCAATGATACATATATAGTTATATAGATTGCTCAAAGCGAGTCGTTTGCGAGCGGCCATATTGCCTGGCAAGTGTTCATTAATTTGAAATGGTTTAGCAATTTTCATAAACCAATTTTCCGACTTTGAATAATAAAAAAAAATAATTATCTACATTTTTACTACAAAGCCTAAGCTTACGTTTATTTTTAAAAATACGAATGGTTAATCTATATAACTATCTATACATTGAGCCTGTCAAATCTTCAAGCCCACAAAGTTGCCATGTTATAATCTATCATGTGTCTGTCAGAGGCCTGTCATTTCCTATGGGCAGTCATTTTGTTTGGAATGCCTAGCCACATCAAAGTATGTGCTAGCCATCACATACTTTGATTTTCTTTTACTATATGGAGAATGGTCGCACTGCGCAGCTTTCTGAGTGCCCTTTAAAAGGAGATAGAAAACTCCGCCATTTTGAACCTTTATTATGTGTTGCCTACATCTTGGCGCAATATTTTTAATAGTTGCGTTTTAATCATCCGCTTCTGCTTCGGACTTGTCGGTTTTCTTGTTTTAATCTGACAGGTTAAAACGACTAAACCGACAATTCCGGAAGCACAAGCGGATGATTAAAACGCACCTGATATTTTGCTTGCTGCTGTCAGTGTTAGTGAATATTAGGCATTCCAAACTGAATGGCTACCAGTGGGTTTTGACGGGTTATGATATAGCAAAATTATGGCAACCCTGTAGGCCTGGTGATTTGACAAGGTCAATGAAATAGATAGTTACATAGATTGATCATCCATATTTTTCAAAATAAACATAAGCTTATGCATTGAAGTAAAAATGTAAGCAATTATTTTTTTTTAATGTCTAAAGGCTAAAAATTAGTTTTAAAACACATTTTTTCTAAACCGATTCAAATTAATAAATATTTGCCAGGCAATATGGCCGCTCGTAAACGACCAGCTTTGAGCAATCTATATAACTATATATGTATCATTGACCCTGTTAATGACAACATGACAACAGGGTTGCCATATCTAAACTGTCATTACCCACTGGTAGCCATTTGGACAGGTCGTTGGAATGCCTAATTATTTTTGGAGTCACAGTTTATTGCTAAAGAATCAGTTAGCTCACTCGGACCAGTTGAAAGTTCCAAAATAACATCCACTCCAGGGATACAAATTCAGGATACGCAGGAGACTGCTGTTTTATTATAGGCGGTTGTCATATATTGTATTACCGAGTTGCGCAGTGTATAAACTGGAACATTGAGATCAAAAGTGCCGACGCAGAGTGAGCGATCCACATACTTTGATTTTCTTTTACTATACGGAGAATGGTCGCACTGCGCAGCTTTCTGAGTGCCTTTTAAAAGGAGATAGAAAACTCGGCCATTTTGAACCCTTATTACGTGTTGCCTACATCTTGGCGCAATATTTTTAATAGGTGCGTTTTAATCATCCGCTTCTGCTTCGGAATTGTCGGTTTTCTTGTTTTAATCTGACAGGTTAGAACGACTGAACCGACAATTCCGGAAGCAGAAGCGGATGATTAAAACGCACCTGATATTTTGCTTGCTGCTGTCAGTGTCAGTGAACATTATTTTTGGAGTCACAGTTTATTGCTAAAGAATCAGTTAGCTCACTCGGACCAGTAGAAAAATCCAAAATAACATCCACTCCAGGGGGTCAATTCTCGACTTGTAGGAACCTTTTCCTATAGGAATTTGTGACACTTTCCTATATGTAGGAAAATGTCATAAATGTTCGATGTATATAAAAATTTCAAAAATTCCTATAGGAAAATATTCCTACGAGTCGAGAATCGACCCCCAGGGATACAAATTCAGGATACGCAGAAGACTGCTGTTTTATTATAGGCGGTTGTCATATATTGTATTATCCGAGTTGCGCAGTGTATAAACTGGAACATTGAGATCAAAAGTGCCGACGCAGAGTGAGCGATCTGATTCTTTAGCTGTAAACTGTGTCACAGGGTTCAAAATGTCCGCGCCCTATGTTGGGCGTGTCGGAGTTCTCTCTTGCCTCGTATAGTAATCAAAGTATGTGGCTAGCCATGCAATTAGCTGACCAAACGTTTGATGGTAGCGACCTTCGAGAGAATATAAAGTAGTGGGGAAGGATGGTTACGCCAAGGTCAGTTAACCGGGATGGTTACCCAAGATGGCTACTTGACATTAGTATTTACCAGTGGTGTATCATATTTATATTGTTTGAAAATGTAATATTTTTATTAGATTAAAATAGCGCAGACAAAATAGCTCAAGGACAAAATAGCAAACGATAAAATAGCACAAGGACAAAATAGCCAGGGACAAAATAGTGCAAAAGAACAAGATATGTTTTTTAATTAATTTAATTCATTAAAATAATCCGTAACAAATACGAATATTTGGAGTGTAGCAAATTTACTGCGACAAATTTGCGCCGAAACAAATACATTAGAGACAAGTCATCTCCTGATATAAGTTAGCGCTTAGTCAAAAAAGATCAAGATAAATTATTGCAATACTCTAATTAAAATTCATCGCGGATTGCTGTATATAACTCCAGGCCACCCAGGTTAGGTTAGGTGTGTTAAGTTTATTTTTAATTTTAATTAGAATTCGAAATATTTTGTCATGCGCTTTTTTGTTTTGCGCTATTTTGTCCTGTGCTATTTTCCTGTGCTATTTGTCCTGCGATATTTTGTTCTGTGCTATGTTATCCTGCGCTATTTTGTCCTTGGGCTATTTTAACTTGCTCTATTTTTTGTACTATTTTTTCCTGCGCCATTTTGTCATGAGTTGTTTTATCATGTTGCCAATTTTTTTAATTTTTATTAGTTTTTCAATCATGGATAACGCACTGAATAGCAGTCTTACAGCTCACAGCTATGTTTTGACCTAAAACCTGATTAAGCGTTGGTGTAGCAGTCTAACGCGCTTATATTCATTTATAGGCAAGTTTATGGTCCGAGACTGCTGGGCTTCGAATCCCAACCCAGACCATGTGGATTTTTAATTAAATTGCATGGTTCGGTATAGGATTTGATGTGTACCGTATTAATAGAAATTCAATTTCTGTTGATATGACATGAAGATTATAAAATCGCCATGCATTACCGTCTCGATGATGGTGGGTGAGGTTTTCCTCTCCTGTAAGTCAAATGTCACCATCAATCATCTTTAAGTCGCCCCGGATCGCCACGGCAAATAATAATAATAATAATAGCCGTCCCTTTCCCCGCACAAGCTCAGCTTTTGGGGTTAAAGTTCACTCGTAAGAGGGTGAATTAGGGAGAGTATTATTATTATTATACAAATTGTTTCCTTCTATGAATTCAATTATTGACTATAATATACTTTTTCTAAGATTTTTTCTTTTGATGATAACAAGTTTAGTGGTCTTAAAGTTGTTAATTTTTGGAATTGGTACCATTATTTAAATCTTCTAATCATAATTTATAGTAAAACAAATTTATACAATTGTAGAACTTTCTTTTGCATATTTGTTTCCGTGTATAAACTGTATCAATCTAACCTCCAATTAGTTGGAAAAATATCAAAATAGGTGCTGAAATAACAAAAATAAGAATTTCAATATGTATACTTAATCTCTTGACTGCCTTTATACTAATTTAAAGCTGAACTCATATAAGTTTAAATATGCGATTCTACAGGGTGTCCCGAAATTAGACGGTCATATTTTAACAGCGTAATCTACATCCTAAAATAGGAATAAAAGTTCATATAAACATAGATCTGAAAATTTTTCGTTTTCGAGATACAGGGTGTTAAAAGTGAAGTCATGATAACACTCTTTTGTAAATATTTTCTAAACGTTTAAAGATAACGAAGTGAAATTTGGTACAAATGCTTACCTTTTTACGCTCTATTTAATGGACTAAACCCCAGTTTCTGATCATCTTCATAGGTAGGTAAATTAGGGGGGGCTTAGGGTAAAATTGCCCTAAGTTTTTTTTGTTGACAGTTTTTAACATTTTTGACTATAAAATTTGGAAAACCAATGTTTTCTTTATAATAAAGCTACATTTGTTGCATCTCGCTAGGACGCACCATTTTCAAGAAAAAAGCATTTGAAAATTTCATGATAAGTTATTCGAAAGTGTAAACAATAATTAGTAGGCCTGTGAAATCAGAAATTTTATTTTTTTTTACTTTGGAAAATCGGTGACTAAAGAAATTTTAGAAAATATTTACAAAAATGTGCCATCAGGACTTCACTTGTAACACCCTGTATCTCGAAAACGAAACGTTTTCGGACCTATGTTTATATGATCTCTTATTCCTATTTTAGGATGTAGATTACGCTGTTAAAATATGACCGTCTAATTTCGGAACACCCTGTATAATATGCACATAAGCTTAAGTATTAAATAATAGCTATAATAACTACTACACAGCTAATCTATCTTTCTTGGGTTAGTATTTTTTAAGTACCTACAGTTTTGTTCTACAATGCACATTTAAAATTAATATTTGCAATTTATAATTTAAAGTTAACAAGCTTTCCTCGAAAGAAGCTTCTAATTAAAAAATTATAATTATCCTTTTAACCTCCTTAGCCATCCTTAAAACGTATTATTATCCAAAGGAAGTTTCTTCAGTGCTCGACAATTTAAAGTTAAATTGCCTCAAAAAGAAGCTTACTCTTAGAAAGTCTACCGTTTAAAAACAATTTTTACCATTCTGAAAAGGTGTGTTTTCTGGAGACTGGAAATGTTTTAGTAGGAAAATAAATTAGGGGTTATAATGGGTTGATATTTGGAGTGTTTTCAGTTTTAAAATTGACGTTTTAGTGACATTTGAGGGAGTGGTGGAATGAGTTCCATGTTTTCGATCATACTATATCCCAGAAAGCAGAACTGTGCGACCTCAGAATATTCCCAAAATTCAAAATGTTCTGTCTTTTTACTAAAAATAATTTTAGAA